ATTTTTAAGCAATATGAAGTAAATGCAGGGCAGTGGCCATTAGAACTGATTTTTAGGAGATGGTAAAAATGCTTGTGTTGCATGCTGAACACTAAGGTATAATAAATGAACCTTTAGTTGACATTTGGAAATCTCTTTGTTAATTTGTAGATTTGTTGCACTTGGGAGTAGCATTGGAACACCAGTCTGTTTTGGTTGTGTTTGTTAAGATCTTATGGTTGAAGTCTAAATTAATAAAAAGAATATTAATTGTGTATACTCCTTGAAAAGCAATTTGTGTTTACCGGTCTCTTTTTTTGCCTAAAGGGATGACAAAGAATGATCTCCAGGCACCCAATTACTACGAGGTAATGGAGTTTGATCCCTTAGCTCCTGCTGTCACTGCAGAGTAAGTCATTTACAAAATGATTAATTTATCTTTCGTCTTGGTTCCCTTTGATAGCAGAGCTAACAGGGCTTGGTTATACATTTTACTTTGTTTAGTTCTTGGCAGAAATTGATGGCCTTATTAAAAATGACATGAGGTTTTATGGCAGTTGTTGCTCTTAATGGTCTTATCATTCCAGCCTTGTGACTAAAAAATAAAAATGCTAGGGTTGCACATTAAGAAATAACTGGAACTAAGGTGCGTTAATGGATTCTTTGTAAATTCCTTGGCAGAAAGCCAGGTTCACTCTAGCTTGAGCAGGGCACTGTTCACCGATTGGTGACATAAGTTAACACCACACCGATGGGGTATTTTAGCTGTTCTTTAAGAACCTATCCAAAAAACAAACATATATAAGAACTTATTTTTAGCCTTCTTTATGTGACAACTATGTGCTTAAAATAGATAAAGCATTAGTGTAAAAATTACTTTTTAACTTGAAATCCTTAAAGCACCATTATTTTATGATTTCATATTGGTAAAGTGTATATAAATTTTTATGGGATGGTAAAGTCATTAAAGTTTTAATATACTTTGAGTGACTAAAGGTTACCCCCCAAATTCTTACAAATCATTAAAACAAGTTTATGGAAATCATTATTAGGAAACTGTCAGTCTGCAGGCTGTGTCTTGCCCAAAGTTATGATTTATTTGACCTATGCAGAATTTAAAATGTGCATTTTAAAAATTAATTGCCAACAGTTAAGCTGAGATATTTAAAAATAAAAAAATCTGGACTTCTTGATCTTGTGGATACTCTGGGCAGCACTAGGCCTGCATTTTTACATACCAGCAAGGGGTTGGGGCTAGTAGTAGCTGTCACCTTTACACAGGTAGGCTCTGCAGCCCACCAAGTCCCATTGGACTCTGTGTCTCTTCTTTGCCTGGCATGTATAGACACTTGATGTTTTGATTCTTGGTTTAAACCCTCCATGTAGTGATTGATTTTATAATAATTTATGAATACATATTAATGGATTTAGGAGTCCATTAATTTTTTTTTCCTAACTCTGGATTGTGAAATTTCCCTAGGTCATTCTGCTTGATAAAGTAGATATAATCACTGAATATATTAGTGATTTAAGAAACTGGCACTGAAGTTGGTATGCTTTCAAGAAACTTAATATTTTTATCAGTTTCTGTATCAGATAGGTAGTGGAAAAGTTCTTGATTATATTCAAATTAGGAAATTGCTGTAAGTAGATATGGCAGTGTGAGAGACACTGAAGGTGAGGAGACAGCAGGGAGGCTGGAGAGGTGAAGCTTTGGAATCTCTGTACCATTGTAGTTCTTCTCTCTGGGGGTTAGGGTGTCTCCGTTCCTTTGAAAGTTTCATGAAATCCAAAGATTTCTTTCAATGGAAAAGCACAGAATCTTGCAGAAAAGTTGTGGGGTTTTCACATCACTGGGTATCCATGAACCCCAGATTGAGAATTTTTGCTTCTGCAGGACATACAGTACAACATTTATGAAGACACACACGATTCATTTGACAAATTGATTAAGTGCCAGGGACTGTGCTTGGTGCCTCATTTATAATGTTGAACAAAAAACGTGCTCCCTGTCCTCAGAGATTAAATATAGCGTGGAGACAGAAACTAGACAAATCGTATGTACAATATGCACTAATGGTATGAAAGAATATGGTGACTTGAGAGTGTGTAACAAGAACTAATTTAAATGGAGGTTAGCGAAAGCTTGAGGATGTGACATTAAAGCTGAGACCTGGAATTGTTAGTCAAGTGAAAATTTGGGAATGAGTATCATAGTCCCAGGGCCACAGTCCCCAACTAGGGTCCCCAACCAGGCTTGCAGCCTGTTAGGAACCAGGCTGCACAGCAGGAGGTGAACAGCAGGTAGGGCAAGCCAAGCTTCATCTGTATTTGCAGCTGCTCCCCATTACTCACATCAAGGCCTCAGCTCTGCCTCCTGCCAGATCAGCAGCAGCATTAGATTCTTGTAGGAGCGTGAACTCTACATGTAAACTGCACATGTGAGGGACGTAGGTTGCGTGCTCCTTATGAGACTCTAATGCCTGATGATCTGAGGTGGAGCTGAGGTGGTAACGTTAGCACTGGGGAGCGACTGCAAATCATCCCGAAACCGTTCCCCCAGCCACCAGTTCCATGGAAAAATTGTCTCCCATGAATCCTCTCCCTGGTGCCAAAAAGGCTGAGGACCGCTAGCCCAGGGAACAACTTGTACAAAGGCTCAGAGGAAAGAGTTTTGGCACATTCAAGGGAATGGAAATGCCAAAGCCAAAAGTGAAGAGAGTAAGAAGGAGCCTAATACCAGATGTGGAAACTGTAATTTGGAAGCAAAGAGACATGAACATACAATTGTGAAGAACACTGCTGAGAGGGCAAGTAAGATGAGAACTGAAAACTAGATAATAGGTTAACAGAAATCATTGGTGATTTTAGTCAAAGCCATTTTGATGGACTGATGGGAACAAAAGCCAAATTTCAGTGTGTTAAATAAGAGATGGAATAGAGACAGTAAGTTAGTCATGGTGCTGGCGGTTAAAAACCTAAATCATACTTTGAAACTGATAATATAACCCTTTTGCCATGATGGCTTGTTTGTTTCAGAGCTATTTATGAAGAAATTGATGTTCATCACCACAAAGGAGCTCAAAGTCATAGTGACTGTTGAGGTAAAGACTTCAAGTTAAACAATTTCGTTCCACATTCCATATAATTTCAGTGTAATTTGTCACTTCCTGTATTTAGTATTTATATTTTGTAAGGGCCATCTGAGTCTGACACTTTGGTGAGTGAAATATTATTATATGATTTCTCTTGAATCACTCAAACTGTAGTGAACTACTATTCATTAATGAAATATATTGTGAAATACATTGTGATCTTATATATATTGTGTCACCTGGAAATGAGGCTTAGGAATGCGGAAGTTACTTTATGGAATAGAAATATAATGCTAACAAAAGTAGATGGTGAGTAGAAACTTCTTAGCACTGAAATCAGGCATTTGTCTTTAATGAGCAGTTAATACTTGTTAACTGGTACCAGTAGAACCCATTCATTGTTAGTCCTCCAAATAGGTCAGGGTTTTTCCTATTTGCTGCATTACTCATCCCATTTATTTACTAACAAATGGTCCCCAGTGACCTATTAACCTTATTTTATTCCCCGCACACCCTCCTCCTTGGAAGGGAGTACATTCCCACCTTTTCTTCTATCAAACTGTTGCTCTCCAGCCTCCCAGTAAAGAACAAGGAAAAAAAGAGTTAAGGAATAGAGAAAGAAAAGCACAGGATGAAAACTCGCCCTTTTCGTCTCTTTATTTTAGGTGAAAGTGGATGAACAGCTCACTGGCCACATGGGTGCCAACTCTCTAAAGGGTAGACCCTGTTCAGCTTCGAGGCCCGGAAGATCTACTAACATGTCAAAAGCCACAGTGGAACATTTCTCCTCTGCTATTGCAAAGATTAAATGGAAAAGTAACAGTTCCAGGGTAACATTTATGGTTCCAACAGCTGGAGATTTTTTTCAATAGAATTTGTTTGTAACAAATATTCACTTAAAACTTCAGCAGAAGAAAAATTATTTAGTACTTAGGCCAACCAGTTTAATTGCAGTATCTTATGTCTCACATGTCTTTCTATGTTTAGAAATCATCACCCAGCTGTGATAACAGTAGATGAAGATTATTTCACTGCCGAATAATTCTGAGTAGATGTTAGCATGGAATGTGAGAAACTTAATGTATTCCTCAGGAAGAACACCGAGTGCCTTCATTTAACTAAAGTTGAATGTAAAAGTCAATTTGCACTTCTTTATAAATAATGATTCAGAATTACTGTTAAACCCTTGATGACTACAGTTTAATTATATTTCAGGTGTCCTGAACAGGTCACTGGACTGTGTTGGGTGGCCTTTAAATATGATTCTTTGTAATACTAAGTTCTTTTTTTTTCTTTTTACTCTAACTTAACATTTCTATTTGTAGCAAAGACTACTAGAAAACATTTGTTTACATAAATTACGACAAATAAATTACTATTAAAATAATTTAATACATCTTTTTTACACAGTTTGTTCCCAGAAGAAATCTTCACAATCCCACCATTACATTTTGACATCCAGGGTCTTGGAAAAATGCTAGCAGCTTAGTAGATATACTTATGTATTTTATTTCAATTTCATGATACCACAATTAACTCTGAATGTAAAATAGCTCTAGTTCTTAAAGGAAAAATAAAGTCAAATTTGAAATAAGAATATAAATCTTCCAGCAAGCTGTTAGGGCTTAGGGACTCCTACTCTGAGCTTTTAAAATAGTGACTGTTCATGCTGAAGGAAAATAGCAACAAACTAATTTAGACATAATAAGTATGGTCAGAAGTTCTGGCTTATCACCCGAAACAGAAAACCCTGAGCATAAACTTTTTTTTTTAAATTCTCAGATTCATTGCTACAAATATGAAGGGCTAATAATTTGGTTGAATCATCAGAAGAAACCCATATGCCTATTTAGAATATATGAGAAAAATTGAGAACAGGTCTAGCTTTTAAGTGGGGTAAATCAAAGGAAAAAACCAGGTAGAACCATTTAAAATAGGGTTCACATTATTGTAGAATATTTCTCCTCTAAGAAGGCAGGATACATGATTTTTCAAAAATCAAAAATTTGAAGCAGGACTTAGTAGCTGACATCAATTATAGCCTGGAACTGGCAACTTGTATCCTTCTTTTGCTTCAAAAAAAGTATAAGAAAGTGTGATGAGATCGACATTCACCATTTTTGGATCTTCAGCAAATTCAGGATCAATGTAGAAAAACACTGGCATATCTACTTCCTCTTGGGGATTAAGCCTTTGTTCTTCAAAACAGAAGCACTAGAAGTTATAGAAAGGTATTTGTTTAATAACATTTCTATTTTCTACCTATACCAGAAACTAATAGAGTTCATTTCTTGATTTTAATAAGCATACTACTAAATATAATTTTTAAATTCTGTGATAGAGTAACAGTATCTTTTCATCTCAGATTGAGTTTTGCATAAAGGATTGAGAATCAACAGATTAATTGTAATCTTAAAAGCAGATATCCATGTGGTTTGGCTCTCAATCTCCACATAGCAGGTATAAACAATGAAGAAAAATAGCTTGAAGTTCAGAAGAAATGAGTTTTCAGAAATTATTAGTATCTACGAAAACACTGTAGTAAGTTTCATACCAAAGTTTCATGTACTTTTATCATTTTCTACAAGTTTGCATTTAGTTGTACCTGTATTTTATTGAAGTACTGCCCAGCTTCAAATGGAACAACGTTGTATGTAGAAATTCCGATTACTGGTTTGTCAGTAGGATTCTTAGCTTTATAAAACGCCAGTGCAGTCTCTCCTGGCACCACCTGTTTTAAAGAAAATATACATTATCAATATTTTAAATCTCACCCAGGTCTTTTCCCTACTAAACTACAGTCACATTATTTTTTCTATTCATCAGATCACAATATCTAAGCTAATTAGCTATTACATTAAGCTAATGTAAAGTTCAGCAAAATAAACTGTGAATATTACCCATAAACATATCTGTTTCAGACTTTATTTGCATATGTCAATGAAGAACCAGTACTATTATGCATAATTAGTTATGGATTGTCCTCTTGTATATCTGAGGTCTTCAAGCAATAATTTGCATATTGAGTTATTTAAAATGTGTCCAAGGACAAGCCAATCATATCACAGCCTTTATAACACTTACACCTGAATGCCATGATTAATATTTTTTTTAAAAGGTTACCAACATTAAACTTACTTCATAACCAGAAATTAAACTTACATTTATTAAACCAAAAAGTGTCAATACTTTGTTTTGAGAAAATAACTAAGTAAAACAGCAAGGCTTTAAAAAAAAAATTTCCAAAGGACATTTTATCACTTGTACTAATTCAGCCACTAATACCTTGTATACTACCATGTACCTGGAACTAATATTCAAAATCATAACCTACAAAATCCTTAATCATTGAAGAGATTCAGTCATGTTTACTTAACTGGGCAAGCTTCTCAAATAAGCACTGAAATTAATTCTTTTTAGCTAATCCTCAGTTAATGAGATAATATCAGTTAAAATCTTCCCAGAATTGCTATTAGTCACAATTTGAGAAAACTTTTTAGGTATGCCTTATTGAAATATAACATGACTATTTTACTATCTACTGATTACTTCAAAGGTCCTATTTTTTTTTATTTTTCTTTTAGAGGGACAGGGATACTTTTGATGTAAACCAATAAACTACTTTCCATTGTAACCTATGATTTTCAAGATTCTTCCTATATCATCTATACCAGAGGAAACGTCAGGAACCTACATGGTCTGACAGCTAATGCTACTCCCAAGATTAGTGACCGGAGGACTACTCAGTCAAGTCTTAATATGATTTTAATAAAACAGATGACATTTTCTATTGTTCCAAGCTGACTTTTACTATCATATAACTTAAAGTATATATTCTATTACATTAGGTATAGGGCACTATCAAAAAGTAGTCTATGGGAATAAAAAATAACAGTAATGGAACCTGTATTCTGAAATTAAGTTTAGATGAGTGAAACAGTTTAATGAAAGGAATTTATACTGAAAAAAGTAATCTTTTAATAACTGATTTAGTCACTCACATATATTTCTGTTTGCTGAGGTCTAAAGTTCCACTGAAGACTTGCATGCACATCTGCATTAAAGGTAACTTTAATTATTCGATCCTTAACAGGCACCATGTTTTCAATCTGATCTGATGCATGACCTGCAACTGCTGATCCTCCAAGTCCGGTAGTCTAGAAAAAGATACTAAATACGTTAAACAATACATTTAGGTGTTGATGATCTATTTACTGGATAAAAATAAAATTTTAAAAACAATTTAACTTTAATAATCCCATTGAAGCCAAGTTATATAGTATCACTGACCATTTCCTATAACTGTGTCAATGGTTTGACCACTTTTGGAATGTCAAGAGCCTGTATTTGTTAAAGTCATTCTATTTTTCAGCAATCCCTTGGTTATCTGGCATGGTCAAAAATCAGTCATTTGGGAAAAGCAAATTCTCTAGATAAGTGAATTATTATCACTGATAATACAGCATAGAACTTCCAGCTTTTGCCTTTTATTAAACACCCCTTTATTGTTAGTATATTAACTATTATTCATTTATAGAAGTAAAATTTACAACCTGGTCATTTCAATGAAAATACTTATATAATTCCATTTTTCCATGTTCTTGTCTGGTGCTTTTCCATATCACAGGTTTTAGGATCCAAATTAGTTTATAGTTTCACTTCTATATTCCACTTTTCTAAAGCATCATAAATATTTTCCCATGTTGATTAATGTTTTTGTATCTTTTTCTGTACTTCTCTGCATAGTACAGCTTTTATACGTATCACCAATTAATCAGAGCACCCAATCACTTTGACTACTGAATCAACTAGTCATAGGGCATCAGGATAATATGTATCTGACACCTCTTCTCTTCATAGCCATTATTTCCTTATCTTCAGATGCTTTTAAAAAAAAGTCCTTACTTCCAAGGTCATCATTCTTCTGATGCTTGAGGTTGTCAGAATTCTGGTTTCCGGATAATTTACCTGTTACTATACTAGAAAAAAAATACCAAATTTGAGGCTAGGGGAAGACTACTAGCAAGATATAGTATTACTATCTCCTGCTTGTTACACGAGGCAACTAGCTTCACTCACACAACATTACTGAATTACATTATAACCCTAAAAGATGTGTCAGAGAGCAAGCCTTTGTACTTGTTCAACAGGTAAGTATATTCTTCTTCCTAAAAGTGCTATGATGTTTAAGGGGTCTTTCTCTTGCTCAGACTGGTATAGAACTCCTGAGCTCAAGCAGTCCTCTGGCCTTGGCCTCCCAAGTGCTAGGATTACAGGCATGAGCCACCATGCCTGGCCAAAGTTTAAGATGTAACTCTTTTTCCTGAGGACTTTGAGTTGTGAATAAAAAAAAATTAAGTGTCCTCCCTCAATAAAGATTCTGTAATATATTCTTTGAATATAGATTGTTCAGGTTTCTAAGTTCAATGCTTAGAGAAATTAAAATAGACAAAGAGGAGAAAAGAGTACTGAAAGGAAGTCTTAGCTGTGCCACAAGTCAGCTCTAAGAACTGAGTAAGCCTTATTTTCTTTGGACTACACTTTACATGCTCATAAAATGAGGTCACTGTACTAAGTGGTTTATATAATCCCTTATTTCTGGGTTTAAAATTATGTGATTCCAGGAGAAAGAGGTGGTCTTTTAGAATTATCACTGTTTAACATCCAAATTGATTTTAGGATTACAAATTACATTTTTTTTACCTTCCTACCTTATGACTGCATGTGGAGACAGAGACAATATTGTTAGTTACTTATTTATTTATTTATTTGGAGAAGGAAAGAGTAGTTTATTAATCTGCCAGCAAATGAGGAGGTTGGCAGCCTCCCATCTCAAAGTACCAACATCCTTGTCAGTTACTTTAGTGTGGGGCAGGGTTTCTCAACCTCATATTTTGGGCTAATTCTTTGTTGTTGGGGGAACGTGTCCTGTGCAGTTATATATTTGGCAGTATCTCTAGGCTTTACACACCAGAAACCAGTAGCATCCTATCCCTCCCACTTCCTCAGGTTATGACATCCAAAAATGTTTTAAGACATTGCTAAATGTTCCCTGGTGGACAAAATCACTCTATTCCAGCCCCTCGTGGGGTGGTTTGAGGGGGATTTATACTTGCTTGTTTGGACTCAGTTCTGCTTATGATTTAACCAACTAGTAGTTTTAGGGTTCATGCTTGGCCTCAGATGAAAAGTAATTTCCATTCTATACTCATCCTCCAGAACTCAAGCTATTGCACATTCTCACACAAATGCTAACATTAGGAGACTGAAAAGCCCTTTTGACTTCTGCTGCTTTACCATCTAAAAGAAAGGCAAGCAGATCTCCATAAAGATAGGGGAAGTAAGCCAGGCATTAAAAATGGTGGCAGGAAAAAGCAATAACCCCAGGTACCAATACCAGTTGTAATGTTATTTATACTAGTAATTCCCAAACTTTGCTGCACATTAGAATCTGTTGAGGAGTCCTTGAAAATTACTGATGCCTGGCTCCCACTCTGACATTCTGATATAATCGGTAATGTGTGTGACCTGGGCATTTGGATTTTCAAAAGCTCTCAGGTGATTCCCAATGTACAACGAAGTTGGGGGACCATTATCTTAAACACTTACTGAATGAACACAATGCATAGCTCTCACTTGTGGCATGATTTTTAAACCAAAATTCCTGGTCCCTACCCTAGACCTCCTAACCAGAATCTCTAAGGTATTGGATCCCTGGTATGTGTATTTAAGAAGCTCCTCAAGTGATCCTAATGCCCAAAGCTGCAAAATACTATTTAAGAACTAAGCAGACATCTATGAAGTAGGTGAAGTTTGACCTCGCCAGTGGTTCTCAAACTTTAGTCTGCATCAAAATCAGCTAAAGGACTTAGTAAAACACAGGTTGCTGATCCTGCCACCAGGGTTTGAGTCAGTAGTTCTGCAATTGGGTCCTAGAATTTGTACTTTTAACAGTTTCCCACATGATGTTGCTGCTGGTCCCAGGGGCCACACTCTGAAAACCACTGCACTAGAACTTCTTATCTAAAAGGGAGCCCAGGGTAAGCACATTACGGTTATATTAACGGGGGCGGCGGCCTCAAAGGTCTAATTCATGCCTCCTGTATGGAGGAACAGCCAGTCCCAGTTTAAGCACAAGAAACACGAATACTCCCTTTTCCAGGATTAACCTTAGCACATAAACAACATGTGGTGCACAGATGAATGCATTAATAATATACATTACACTTTTTAAAGTGTGTGTGGGCAGGAGGCTAAGACAGACTACTGGGTACTCTATTACAGGCTGGGGTCCTTTTTGGTGAGGTGTAGCTCAGAGATCAGGTAATTTCACTCAGTAGTGTGGTATAAGCACGATCACCATGGAGAACCGGGTTCTACTTGCAGTATTGCCACTTTTCTTGGTGCCCTTGGGTAAGTCAGTGTTTTGAGCCTGTTTCCTCTTTGATAGATGGTCTTGGACATCCCAACTATGAACCGTAGGGCGATCGCTGTCCAGGAATGTGTCCTGCACCTCCACCCCTTCTGATAGCGCCGCCCAGTGGCCAGCGCCGGCCCCTACCTGGCAATAAAGGCGATAAAGGGGCACGGCGGCATAGGACGCCCCCAGCATGCCCACGGCGGCCGCGACCACATACGTGAGGACCGTCTTGTTCCGCCGCCGCCAGTCCTCCTCCTGCGCGCGAGTGAAAGGATTCGTGCTCTTCGGCCGCCGCGGCGGCTGCACGGCCCGGTCCCGAGCTGGAGGACTCGTGCGCGTCCACGTCCCGAGCCACCTCAGCCCCCACTCGGCATCTCCTTTCCCATTCCACCCTGGTCTAAGAAACGCCTCGACTCTCTCCGCCGCCCTGGCCGGAGACCCAGGGTGGCTCCAACGCCAGCCACAGAAAACAATGGGCCTCCATCGCGGACGCCAGAGCCCTCCCATAGACCCCGGAAAGAACGCCCGCCGTAGGGGACGAGAAGTTTGTTCTCGCGAGGCCTGCTCTGCCTCGCGATATTTTGATTGAGCCTGCCGCTGCCTTGGCTACCGGGCTCTTCAGGTGGCCGCGCTTGTAGTAGGGCTACGGAGGCCGGGTTGCCAGATTACTGGTAAGTTCGCGTTTTGCTTCGTGACCGATCCTCCCACTCTGCTTCCCTCAGTGCCTCTCTAACTTACTTTTAGGAAAACGCAGTTCTCTGCTCCGCGTGCAAGATTATCATCACTTGGAGTTGTGCCTCTGATATTTCTACTCTGATATTTCTAAACTCTACCAGCCTTTGTCTCGACCTAGCGGCCCCGAGCGGCAGCTCTTCTGCTGTCCCTTTACCTGGAGTTCCCTGACCGCGCGCGCCGGTATTTACTAGACTTGGGCTCAGGGATCACGTCTCTGAGGAAGCCTTCCCGTGTTTTCCACAGCCCTCACGGACACTCAGGACACCTGCATGTTCTCATCCCCTGGGCAATCGGCTCCCACTGCTCTGATGCCCCTTTACTACTTGCCCAGTGAAAATCGCCACATCTGGAGCGGGAGGGACGCTGTCAAAGTGAAGTGTGTTTGGAGGAGAGTGACCAGGATATGAGGGTCATTTAAGGAAAGACTGAAGGAAAAGAACCTTGTGGGAGGTGTGATAGCTTTCTTCAAGTAGTCCTACGGGACAAACTAAAAGGGGACAGATTGCAAAGCCGATTTTACTATAATAGAAGGAAGCATCTTTCTGGAACCGTGAAATAGTGGTTAAGAGCTCAGGTTCCGAGACTGGGCAATTGTGGTTTCTTACCCTGGTCCTCACCATAGTTCAGGGTCCTTAGGCCCGCAATTTTACCTCTCTAAGACCTGGTGGCCTTATTTGTAAAATGGAAATCATAATAGTGAATAAGAATATGCATATATCACGGTGCCTGATGCATAGGAAGAATTTAGTAAAAGTTTGGCTTTATTTTTAATGGCCACGGCAGGTCTAATTATCCACACTTTATGGACGTGGAAACTGAAGACCTGAAAAACTTGGTCATTCAACATTTATTTATTTATTGCAATCTGCTCTGGGCCAGGCACTATTCAGCCTACTGGGGCTATAGCACAGAACAAGTCAGACAAAAATCTGTTATGGAGTGTGCTTTCTACTGAGGGACTCAGGAGGTTATCAAGTAACAGATACATAAATAAGGGACTTTCAGATAACAGTGCAATGGAGACAATGGAATAGCGTAATGTGATTAAGAGTGATGAGGAGGAGGGGTAGAAAAGTAAGATCTTTCTGAAGAGGTGACATTTGAGCCTAGTCCTGAATGATGATAAGGAGCTACCTACATAATGACAGTTCTAGGCCATGCAAAGGCCCAGGGGAAGGAAAGAGCTAGATATGACTGAAGAACAAAAAGGAGGCCAGTGTGTTTTTCGCATAGGGAGGGAGGAGGAAAGTGGTAGGAAATGGGGTCAGAGCAGGTACACTGAGGCCTGATAATACAGAGCCTTTCAAGCCATGTCCAAGGGTTTGGATTTTATTTTAAAAGTAATAGGAAGCTGTTGGAGTGTTTAAAGAGTACAAGTGATATAATCTGATTCACACTTTTCTTAAAAAAAAAAAAACGATAGTGGTTATTTTGTGGACAATAGATTAAAGAAAGGGGGACAAAAATAGAAGTAGAACAGTTGCAATGACGACTGAGTGATGATGGTCACCTTGAGTGAGTAATTGATTAACTTGTGGTCACAGGCCAGCAAGTTGTAGAGCCGATAAAATCCAAGTACCTTCTGACTCCTTTCTACTCTGGCACACTATCTCAAAAATTTCAAGCTTCTATGATTCTACAAATTTATTCATATTGTGTTATGACAATGTTTAAAAACTTTTTTCAACTGTATATTCCTCCGTTCTTGTACCAGATTTTCAATTCTTTCAGCAGGAGACTGCTCATATTTTGATTTTCTAACTGCGTACAATCAAATCCCATATAAGCATTAATGTCCTTGAAGCCAACAGTACATTTCCTCTGATTATTCTTTTTTTCCAGTTACCCTTTCCATGTAGCAGTATAAATATGTATCAGGAATAGTGTCTTTGTCTTAGAATCTGTAGTATTTTATTTTTTGTAAATGCAAAGTGTAACTATTCCTTTCCAAAGTGCATAATCTTTATAGCAATAAGGTGGTATTGGTCTTTGTAGCTTTCTACTTTAATAAAGGAAAATATATATCATATCTGATCTTAATATGATAATGTAAAATAACAATTCATATTTATTGGATAGCTAAAATATTTTTAGTATTTCACTTATATGGAGAATGTATTGTGTAAAACATCATTTAGTTCAATCTCTGATTAACTTTTACTTTGAAATAATTTAAAATTTACATAAAAGTTGCAGAAATAATGCAAAAATTTCCTATATATCCTTCACCTAGATTTTCTAGTCTTTAACATTTTTGCCCCATTTGAGAATAGATTGCAGACATGATGTTACAGAACTATAGGCTTCACACTTAACTTATTTATTTCCTAATTACAGGGATACTTTCTCATTCATAACCGACAGTACAGCATCAAAATCAGGAAGTTGACATCAATCCAATATTACCATACGTAGCCATCTTGGGCTGCCATAACAAAATACCACAGACTGGGTTGCATAAACAACAGAAATTTATTTCTCAGGGTTCTGGAGGCTGGAAAGTCTAAGATCAAGGCATCAGCTGATTCAGTTCCTGGTGATGGCTCTCCCTGGCTTGTAGACATCTGCCATTTTGCTGTGTTCTCACATGCCTGGGAGCAGTGAGTGAACTTTCTATTGTCTCTTTTTATAAGGGCACTAATCCCATGGGATCATGGTCCCACCCTTATGAGCTCATTTAACCTTAATTACTTCTTAATTCAAATGCAGCTACACTGGGATTAAGGCTTCAACATAGTAATTTTGGGAGACATATACATTAATTCCTTAACACCATGTTATTAGTGGACTCTCTTTAAATCAGCAGTCCCCAACCTTTTTGGCACTGTGAAGAGACCAATCTCCCAATTTACAATTGAGGGAACAGGCTTAGAATGATAAATTAACTTGCCCAACCTTATTCACAGTGGCAGAGCTGGAGTTTAAGCTTGGATTTTTTCTGACTCCTTGCTCCTTGCTGTTTTTACTAAATCTTGTAGAAAGCAGCTTTGCAATGGACAACAACAAACAACAAAAACACAGCAGCTTTTCTTTTCAATATTAGGAAATATTTCTTCTACCTCAGTTAAAAATCATTAATGCGGTTAGATGCCTATTTGTAAAATGGCACATTTTGAAGTTATTTCTAAGCTAAAACAAACAGTTTAGACAGAGTCGAACATAGGGTTAAGGTCAGAGACCAAGGTTGAAACCTGGATCCAAGGAGTTCTTATGAAAATAAAAGGTCTGTCAATGGACATAGGCACAATAATAATGCAACATTGGGAGATGCCGAAATATATGTTTTTCTCTAAAGCTTAGTTGAACATATAACCCTGGGCTGCAATTTTGTGGAGTCTGATCGTGCTTGTGATATTGCACAAATCATTGTGATAACTAATACCAGCCAAATAATGGGTTCTACCAGGAATGGAATGGGCGCTCTCCAGGGAAAGGTTGGTCCAACTCTATTGTGCAGGTTGAGGTGTTGATGATACACTTAAAAGATGGAGAGCCAGAGTGACATTTCAGACTTGATACCTTTAATTTTCAATATTATTCTTAAGCAGTAAATAATTACTTGTAAACACTTTCTAGTTAGCTATGATCGTGGCCAATTTTACATATTAGGTAAAATAAGTTTTTTCATAAAAACTGTTTTGATATTCACACAATGTTTTCTTATCTGATTATTGATTTTCAGGTTTTCTGAAGACCTAAATATTATAAAGATGTATTACTGTAAATTTTGATTTGTAGTTACATTTTTTAGTATTTAAATGCATAATATAAATTAAGGAAATTGCAGCTTTAATTTTAATGTGGTAGTCACTGAACTGTATTTCCTAGCTGTCTATTTGCCTGATAAAGCTATTGGATCCATTTAGCTGTCTTAAACACCTAGCAATAATTCCAACAGTATTAACATCTGTTTATTTGGTGTCTATTTATTACAATACTTGTACCTTAAAGAGGGAGAGTAATGTATTTGAATAAATAATAATAACAAATGAATTATAATTTGCTTGAGGGCTGGGTGCGGTGGCTCACACCTATAAACCTAGCACTCTAGGAGCTGGAGGCAGAAGGATAGTTTGAGCTCAGGAGTTCAAGACCAGCCTCAGCAAGAGCAAGACCCCAGTCTCTACTAAAAGTAGAAATTAGCCAGACAACTAAGAAATAGAAAAAATCAGCTGGGTGTGGTGGCGCACACATGTAGTCCCAGCTACTTGGGAGGCTGAGGCAGGAGGATCACTTGAGTCCAGGAGTTTGAGGTTGTTGTGAACTAGGCTGATGCCACGGTACTCTAGCTGGGGCAACAGAGTGAGACTCTGTCTCAAAACAAAAAAATTGAGAACAGACTGGGTAATTACCGTTTTCCAATTAATGCACAATAATGTGAAGTTGCCTCACTAAGTCTTCATATCCTAGTTTCTTATTTCTTGGCAGCTGCTTTTATGCCACTTTTTTGAGGGGCTACTTCATTTAAATGATCTCTTGAATAAGTTTATATGATTGATAAATAAGGTGAAATGAAAATGGAAATCATCAGTAGAGGGCCTTCATTTATTCAAGTAATGTTTATCAAGATGAGGGCCAGCTTTGTGGGCATTTGACCTGTGCAGTCTACACCAGGCCCTGCTCTTAAAAGCGTCCCTCTCTTATATGGGTCCTGGACTTGGTTTAACGCTCTGCTGTCACCGTCTTGAAATTCTTCATAATTATTTAATATGGGGCCTTGCATTTTTATTTTGTATTGGACCCTGCAATTTAAGTAGCTAGTCCTGGTCAAGATATACATAGAGATATATGCACGATAGTATATC